GGGGGGGGCGGGGGGCCGCTGCCGCCCCAGCCAGTGCAGCGAATAGGACCCTGGGGCTGGGAGCTGGACGGAGCTGCAGCCAGCTCATCCAGGTGGGGGCGGGGGGTGGCTCCCCACACCTGCTCACACCCCTGAGGGAGGCATGGGGGGCATATACCCCCTGGATTTGTAGTCAGGGCAAAGGCAGGCTGCCCACTGTAAACCCCACCCTCCCCCTTAGCCAACCCTCCCAGCACTGCCACCCACCCTGCACAGCTAAGCCTAGCCCTGCCGCTGGGAAGAGGCTGGTATAGCCCCTGGCCCTGAGGGGGGTACGTACTCCCCATGCTTCCCTCAGGGGTGTGCACAGTGGTGGGGAGCTGCCCCCCACCCCGCTCCATGCCCCCTGGACAAGCCACCCACAGCTCTGTCCCGCTCCTGGCCCCCGGTCCTATTCACCACCCTGGCTGGGCAGTGCCTGCCCCTACCCCATTCCCTCCCTCATTTTGGATACTTTGGATCATTAAAGAAGCAAGCATGCTCAATGCAACATCTGATAACTAATATTTGTTGCTTTAAATCCATCTATGCTGCATGTGCAAAATAATTAGTCTGTCATGGGATAAACACCATGTAAGCTTCAACTTTTAACACAAAGCAGTTTGTCCGATTCCAAAAAATATCTAACAAAACATTTTCTTTTTTAACATTCCAGTAACACGAACAAGAGCCAAACCAAATTTTGTCTGACTTGGTAAAAATAAACTCTCTCTCGGCCTAAGACTAGGCTTGGAAAGTATCAGGCCTAAAAGGATTATTTCTATCAAAATTATGGCCATCTAAAATAGAGGTGGAAAAAGGGGTTGTAGGAAAACCATCTCTCAACCTTAAGTAGCACAGTAAGCTGGACAATAAATATTAGCAGATAACTCAGAGAAAATATCTGATGATCTACATTTGACGATCTATCCTATTAAGCGAAATCCAAGGTGAAGCAGAAATCAATCGTCTATTTTATACTTTGATTTTACATAGATCCCTCCAGTGTTTTGGCTTCTTTTTTTTCCATTATACTCACAAGTCATCCACTTAAACCATCTATTTTCTGAGTGAAAAGCTGACCTATGGTAGAGCCAAACATTCAGGAAGAGGAACCTAACAAGAATATTCTGCATATTTTAATGTTAGATAAGTCCATTTAATGAGATAAGTGTGTGCCTATTACCCTGAACTATTTACTCTGCATGTCCCCGTCATGCATGTGATTAGAATGGAGGACACAGACAGCATCGTCCTCTGTTTTGACGGTATATTTTGGGTGCTGCCACAATTTTAAACAAACAGGTGGCAAAGCTCCAAGACTTTCACCACTCATTTCACTCTCACTCATCATCCTAACTCAACGATCAAATTTAAACAGAGGACCAGCCAAAACTTTCATTAAGGAGCTACTTCCACTCCATGATAATTAGTACCATTTGAAAAAACCTGGCCAGAAAATAAGCTTATTGTTTCTAAAGTGAGAATCTGTTTATGAAGCTACATCTGGGTAACAATGTTCAAACCCAGAATCTGCTGCCCCCCACGGTGGCACAGGAAGAGCAGTGCACAGCATCCTTCATCTGTCCTCATGCAAAATATGAAATGAATTGGCTCATTCTGGAAAGCAAAGGCAAGCCCATGAGAAGAGCAGAAAAATGTAAACATCCCAAGCAGCTTTTCTATCCCTAGGACTAAATGGGGAGTCATTTTCATGTACTAGCCCATCTTAAATGATAACTGGTGGGTCAGGACTGCAAACGTGCAGACAGATAAATGAATCTGGAAAATGTAGTGACCACCCACCTGGCACCTCCAAGCACTGATGCAGCCAGAGCTAGAAGAGGATTCTGTGCACCGAATTCACAATGCCAGACAATACAGCACCATAAACAACTCCCAGACCCCACTGAAACCACCTTTTTTTTTTTGATGAGGAACAGCAGCAAATGTGACACACGCAACTTTTAGCCAACATAACCTATGAAAAATTAGGATTTGAACCTGCAGAGATTGCCAGTATATAAAGGAGTATAATGAG